GATGGATGCCTCTTTTGAGCACTGATAGGTTGCACTGATGGGCACTGATAGATGGCACTGATAGGCATCACTGATGGGCACTGATTGGCAGCACTGTTGGGCACTGATCAGCAGCACTTATAGGCAATGAATGGCTCTGTCGGGGCTGCTCTGATAATCAGGGAACTGATGTTCAGTGCTCTGATTATCAGTGTAGATGTCCCCTGTTACACTTGCTGGTCACCGGCTCTTCACACTATAACCAGCAAGTGTGTTTACACTGTGATCAGCTGTGATTGGATACAGCTGATCACATGGTAAAGGGCCGCTGTGATTGGCCCTTTAACATGATGTGTTATCAGCTGTGTCCGAAGGACACAGAGATCACAGAGCACAATGGGTGCACACCACACCGGGTGCGTTATGAGCATGGTACTGGGAGGACATACATGGACACCCTCCCAGAACTGAATGACCGCACTGTAGCTGTCTTTTGGTTATAACGCAGTCAAGAAGCAGTCAAGGAAGATCTCAGCTTTACAGATTTGACCGAAATGCGTGAATGTCAGCACCCCTATTGGTCATTGAGCCTTTCTTTCACACCCTTCAAAGAATCCACGGCAAGGGGGCTTGGATTTGTGAGTGTACCTTCCTGGAGGAAGGGGGCTATCAGGAGACAATGGGGGGTTGATTTACCCAAGGCAAGAAAAAAGTTCACTTTGAAAGGGAAGTTGCCCTTTGCAAATGAATTTTCCCCAGAGCTAAGTGATTGAGGTGAAGCTCTGCTGGGTTCCATCATCCAATCATGTGCAAGCAAAAATGCTGTTTTTTTTTCCTTGCACATGATTGGGTATCAGGGGTGGACTGACCATTTGGAAACTCGGGCACTGCCTGAGGGCCTGGGGTCAGTAGGGGGCCCCATTAGATGCCCCTGGTACCTTTTTCATAGGCTTTTTTGAGTTTGGGCAAGGACAGGGGCCCCATGATCCCCTATTGCCCGGGGGCCCCATGAGTTGTCAGTCCGCCCCTGTTGGGTATTCTTTGCAAACTGAAACTTAACCATATTTACTAAGCTCTGGGGAAAATTCTCTTGGTAAGTCAACCTCCAACGTCTATTCCTGGATGGGCAGGTGACACTGTCCCTTTAAACTCCAAAAACTATTCACAGTGAGACACAATAGCCTAGAGCAGTGATGGCGAACCTATGGCACGCAGAGCCATCTCAGTGGGCACGCCAGGAAGAAGAGGAAGATGAGCGCACACGGACCGGCCATCCAGATCTCGTCCACACTGGACCCCCATCAAACTACATTTCCCACATGTCTCTGGGGCCAGGGTGGGTGTGGACGAGAGGAAACGGCTCCAATGCGGCTCTGGCACCAGGGGTGATGTAGCCGGGGATGGGCGTGGAAGAGAGGAAGAGGCTCCCACACTGCTCCGGGGCCAGGGGCAACGTGTTCAGCATGGATGGGAATGAGCTGCTGGGTTGGAAGCCACACCGACGCTGCCAGAGGTGAGATTAACTGCTTGCAGTGTCATCCATCAGTGCCCAGCAGTGTCGCCTGTCAGTGCCCAGCAGTGTTGCCCATCAGTGCCACCCATCAATGATGCCCTGCAGTGCCATCCGTCAGTGCTGCCCAGCAGTGCCGCCTGTCAGTGCTGCCCAGCTGTGCCACCTGTCAGTGCTGCCCAGCAGTGCCACCCGTCAGTGCTGCCCAGCAGTGCCACCCATCAATGATGCCCAGCAGTGCCATCCAGTGCCCAGCAGTGTCGCCCTGCAGTGCCACCTGTCAGTGCTGCCCAGCAGTGCCACCTGTCAGTGCTGCCCAGCAGTGTCGCCCATCAGTGCTGCCCAGCAGTGTCGCCCATCAGTGCTGCCCATCAGTGCCACCCATCAATGATGCCCATCAGTGCCCAGCAGTGTCACCCATCAGTGCCCAGCAGTGTCGCCTGTCAGTGCTGCCCAGCAGTGTCACCTGTCAGTGCTGCCCAGCAGTGCCACCTGTCAGTGCTGCCCAGCAGTGCCACCTGTCAGTGCTGCCCAGCAGTGTCGCCCATCAGTGCCACCCATCAATGATGCCCAGCAGTGCCGCCGATCAGTGCCATCTGTCAGTGCCTCTAGGTAAGCAAGTGGTTAATTGCAGTGTTGGCACTTTGAAATAAAAAAGTTGGTTTGTGTTGCAGTTTTGGGCACTCTGGCTCAAAAAGGTTCACCATCACTGTCCTAGAGGTTAGCACTTCTGCCTTGCAGCACTAGGGTCCCTGGTGAGAATTCTGGTCAGGATACTATCTGCATGGAGTTTGCATGTTCCTCTCACACACCAAAGACATGCTGGTAGGTTCATTGGCCCTAGTATATGTACATGTCTATATATGCATATGATATTGGGAACTTCGATTGTAAGCTCCTTGGGGGCAGGGACTGATATGAATGTATGGTATGTAAAGTGCTGTCAACTGTTGGTGCTATATGAACATGTGCAATAAGTACAAATTTAAAATAACACTAAACTTGGGAAAAACTGTAGTTTTGATATGTGTGTTTGTTAACAACATACTGTGTATGTATATATATATATATATATATATATATATATATATACACATATAGGGCTTTTCTTCTCATAGAATAGGTGCAGTAACTCCACTCTTCTATGTCACCCCTTGTCTATGCCCCCCTTCCCACCTCTGAGCACCGTCCCTTGGTTCCACCCCTTCCCACCTCCGACTACCGCTCCTTTTAGAGAATATGGACTAAAAAAAACCCAGCAACAATAGACCCTCCCCCCAACAACAATGGATCCTCTGCAACAAAATACTACCCCAGCAGCCAGCATTAATATACTCTCCAATAACCAGCAACAATAGATCCCTCACTCAATAGCATATTAATTCCAGCAACAATTGACCCCTCCAGTAACAACAGACCTCTCCAACAAAAATAGACCACTATGCAAAAATAGATCCCCTTCAGTGACAATAAATCCCCCAGCAGCCAGCAACAATAGAACCTCCAGCACATCCCAGCACCCCTTGCCATTACATACATTCAGTGCTGGAACTACATTCCCCCACGTTCCCGCTGAACAAAAAGCCATATATATATATATATATATATATATATATATATATATATATATATATATATACAGTATCTCCCAGAAGTGAGTCCACCCCTCACATTTTTGTAAATATTTGAATGTATCTTTTCATGTGACAACACTAAAGAAATGACACTTTGCTACAATGTGACGTAGTCAGTGTACAGCTTGTATAACATGTAAATTTGCTGTCCCCTCAAAATAACTCAACACACAGCCATTAATGTCTAAACTGCTGGCAGCAAAAGTGAGTCCACCCCTAAGTGATAATATCCAAATTGGGCCCAATTAGCCATTTTCCTTCCCTGGTGTCATGTGACTCGTTAGTGTTACAAGGGCTCAGGTATGAATGGGGAGCAGCTGTGTTAAATTTGGTGTTATCGCTCTCACTCTCTCATACTGGTCACTGGAAGTTCAACATGGCACCTCATGGCAAAGAACTCTCTGAGGATCTGAAAAAAAGAATTGTTGCTGTACATAAAGATGGCCTAGGCTATAAGAAGATTGCCAAGACCCTGAAACTGAGCTGCAGCACGATGGCCAAGACTATACAGCAGTTTAACAGGACAGGTTCCACTCAGAACAGGCCTTGCCATGGTCGTCAACTAAAGAAGTTGAGTGCACGTGCTCAGCGTCATATCCAGAGGTTGTCTTTGGGAAATAGACGTATGAGTGCTGCCAGCATTGCTGCAGAGGTTGAAGGGGTGGGGGGTCAGCCTGTCAGTGCTTAGACCATACGCCGCACACTGCTTCAAATTGGTCTGCATAGCTGTCGTCCCAGAAGGAAGCCTCTTCTAAAGATGATGATGCACAAGAAAGCCCACAAACAGTTTGCTGAAGACAAACAGACTAAGGACATGGATTACTGGAACCATGTCCTGTGGTCTAATGAGACCAAGATAAACTTATTTGGTTCAGATGGTGTCAAGCGTGTGTGGCGGAAACCAGGTGAAGAGTACAAAGACAAGTGTGTCTTTCCTACAGTCAAGCATGGTGGTGGGAGTGTCATGGTCTGGGGCTGCAAGAGTGCTGCCAGCACTGGGGAGCTATAGTTCATTGAGGGAACCATGAATGCCAACATGTACTGTGACATACTGAAGCAGAGCATGATCCCCTCCCTTCGGAGACTGAGCCACAGGGCAGTATTCCAACATGATAACGACTCCAAACACACCTCCAAGACCACCACTGCCCTGCTAAAGAAGCTGAGAGTAAAGGTGATGGACTGGCCAAGTATGTCTCCAGACCTAAACCCTATTGAGCATCTGTGGGGCATCCTCAAATGGAAGGTGGAGGAGCGCAAGGTCTCTAACATCCACCACCTCCGTGATGTCGTCATGGAGGAGTGGAAGAGGACTCCAGTGGCAACCTGTGAAGCTCTGGTGACCTCCATGCCCAAGAGGGTTAAGGCAGTGCTGGAAAATAATGGTGGCCACACAAAATATTGACACTTTGGGCCCAATTTGGACATTTTCACTTAGGGGTGGACTCACTTTTATTGTTGTTATTTTGAGGGGACAGCAAATTTACATGTTATACAAGCTGTACACTGACTACATCACATTGTAGCAAAGTGTCATTTCTTCAAAGTTGTCACATGAAAAGATAGAATAAAATATTTACAAAAATGTGTGGGGTGGACTCACTTCCGTGAGATACTGTATCTACTTCCAGTTCGTTCTCTAATTTTCCATCTAGCTATCATCCTGCAGATCAGATACAACTGAGAGTGATTCCTTCCACAGCACTCATGCCCTCCAGATTTGACTACTTAACAGTTTATTTCCCCCAAAAGATCGGGGCTCAGGGAGCTGCGGGCTCTTTATAGGAGGCCATTATTGTTATACGGCGGTGTGTTTCATGGGACGCTAGGGCTCATATGCTTTATGGGAACATAAACCACTTTCTGAAATGTGTTTCTTATTTTCTCAGCCCGCTCCAAACAAACATAAAACCGATCGGAGAGTGTTCTACGTACCCCATCCTCCGCCGCACTAAATACCCTCGTATCCATTTCTGGACAATTAGCACCGGAGAGGAGGCGGCCAGAACGCAATTGATTTTTGTAATGATTTTGCTCGTGTCTTTTGTCTCGCTTTGCACGGAGAAGATCTCCTGCAACACAACACAAGAAGGTCATAGGCAATGGAAATTCACGCTTATTTAACCTGGACCCGTCATTAAGGCTCGCATTTCACGTGGATCAATAAAGTATATGTCAGCATTACCAAATCATATTATTATTTGGAGTAAATAGGTATCTCATTTTTGACATAAATAAAAATCATTGTTCTGCAGTTCCCAGCCTAGGCAGCGCAGGTCACATGGGTTCTGCCTACCAATCATTTCACTTGCTTTTAATAAGCAGCAAAACAAGAGGGTCAATGGCCTTCCTTGTATGTACTGTATACTCGGCATTATTATAATCTATACACACAAATAACATTGTTAATACAGTAAAACACATCAATAGGAATGGCTGAGAAGCAGAACTGAAAGCAAGCAGGCAAATGCAAAGCTGAAATGCAAATGTGTGAATTGATTTGTCTGCCATAATATTAGCAATTTTGTTAAAGCTGAACTGCAGGCGCAAAAAAAAAAAAAAACTCTCATTTAGATATATTCCTCAGTAGCCACACAGAATATCACTCAACTTTGTGTGTACCAAATTCACAGATCCCATATGGAAGAAAAATATATTTGAAATATATTTTAAAATATTCTTCCCAAATATATTGTCATATATTTGCCCTCACTTTCCTTCTGTACTGAAAGTATTGTAATTATATTCATGAATGACTCTTTGTTCACCTATCTATTAACTGATATACACAAATAATTTTTTATCAAATTAATAAAATTGATGTTTTTTAACAAATCAATCTTTTTTATGTAAAAGGGAGGGAATCTTATGATGGCACCCCGCAGTAGAGTATTATAGAGAGTGTTGAGAGTAATATGGAGCAAGAGATTATACAATATCTTTGGGCTGTAGGATAACTGTCTTTAAATTGAGGTATAACTCCAAGAAAATGGCCGCTAGACCACCACCCCTAGACATATAATTGGCCAGGGAGAGAGATAAATAGAAAGCCGGCCTATGATGGGCGTATATCCTGACGAAGTCACATGGTCCAATCGTGACGTAACGCGTAGATACGTTCGTGGGAGGAGTCGTAGCGGTGATGCGGCTGACGCGGTGACCACCACCCCTAGACATATAATTGGCCAGGGAGAGAGATAAATAGAAAGCCGGCCTATGATGGGCCTCTATCCTGACGAAGTCACATGGTCCAATCGTGACGTAACGCGTAGATACGTTCGTGGGAGGAGTCGTAGCGGTGATGCGGCTGACGCGGTGACGTCATATCCGACGTAGGCGCCATTTTTGTACACCTTATCAGAATCCATACATGCAGTACACCCATAGCGTGGTGAAAAAGCTGTTTTACACTTACAAAAGTGTGAGTAGGATTTTTTTAAGTGTTTATAGCGTTTTTATGCAAATAAATGGTTTTACACTATGCTGGATTTCTTTGCCTTGCTGGGAACGTATTTGGAGAGGTTCCAATTTCATTACTAATGAGAGGGTCTCAACACTACTGCTGAGGAGGATCTGACGGTCTGTGGAGGAATAATAAGGCATCATTTGGCTCATTGGTCCTGAGGGGCCTGGGCAGGAAGGTGAGGGGGCACCCCTGTCACTGTGGATTGACACCCCGTTTGTTTGCACTTAGTGTGGAGCACATGCACAAAGAGTCATTCATGTGTCCGATATAGTGTGTGGACTTCACTGTATAGCATTTCTCACAGCACCGAGAGTGGACACAGAAAAACCCCATGATAGGGGCATCACAAATATTGCATGTTTTACATATATGTGTATAAGTATTTTACAAGTTATAGCGCTGCACTATTAATAGATATTTATATTACATTGTATTGTGTGCCTGGGTTGTGGCATTTTAAGTGCTAGCTGCTTAGTGATAGGGGATTTAATAGCGCAGGAGGCATACTATACATTGTAATTGTATTGTCTCCCTTATATTGTAAAGCACTGCGCAAACTGTTGGCGCTATATAAAAATCCCGTATATTAATAATAATAATATTTGAAATGCTACAATTTTGGCCATATTCAATATATTTCAAAATATATTTCAATGAATATATATATATATATATATATATATATAGTATATATATATATATATATATATATATATAAATATACTGCATGTTGAAAAGTCATTTTTTTTATATATATTACAAAATATATGAAAAATATTTTTAGAAATATATTTTTTTTAAATATATTCTTCAGATTTTTTTTAACAAATAAAAAAGTCATTTTTAATATATATTTTACATATATTTGTAAATGCATTCCAAAAATGTAGATTTGTATTTTTAAAGACACAGTATATTGGAAATGTATTTTTAAAAATATGATTTTTTCAGATATTTTGTAATAAAAATGCATTTCAACATGCAGTGTATATATATATATATATATATATATATATATGTATCGAGGACACAAACGAAATATAATTATTTTCTATTTAAATATATTTTGAAATATATTGAATATGGCCAAAATAGTAGCATTTCAAATATATGTCAATATATTTGGGAAGACTATTTTTAACAATATGTTTCAAATACATGTTTTTCCATTTGGGATATTACCTAGTAAAAGTAGCAGTGATATCATCACTGTGCTGTATATAACCTGTGCAGAGACCAGAGCTGTGATCACTCATCAGGTTCTACCCGAGTGTTACTGTGGCTATTTTAGTGATTTTTACAGCACAGATATTCAGTATATCTGGAATAACATTTTACTTAAGTGTGTTGTTTTTAGAAGCTAGGCCTTCCTTATTCATATGCTAATTAATGTGTTGGACTGGTTTATGATATTAGGACAGAAGCTATGCTAAAGGAGTAGTGGAAGGGAAAAGGACTTGAACACAGCCATGTGTCGAGGACACAAAAGAAATAGGAGTTGTCTTGCAGGACTCTGAGAAGCAAGGAGCATTCAGAAATCCTGGATAAAAGGAAAAAGACTCCATCACAAGGTCCTTACAAGATGCAAAGCAAAACAACCCACTGCAAGCTACTTGTAGATATCTACAGGAGTGGGCGGAGACAAGACCATTCATTCTACAAAAGGAGAGAGAGCAGCAGTGAGAACGGCCTTTATTACAGGAAGCTCCCGCACTGGAAGAAATACACAAAGCACACCACAATTCAAAAATACACACGTCAAATGTATTTGGACAATATTCACTTGTTCTGGAGTTTGGCTTTAACTTCGGCAGAGAAAATCAGGTCTCCTGCTCTGCCAGACAGGGCTGCACTGTGTGACAGAGCTGTGTAAATCTCAGGACTGAATGGACAGAAATACAAATACTTGCCAGGTGAAACAGCCCATGAATATGCATGACAGCAGTGTATCTAGCTGCTAGCCTGGAGTTCTATTGTACTGCAATCACCCAATGGTTTAAATACAAGTTTATCTGTACTAGAGAAGAACAAGAAGGGAAGGCAGAATGTTCTCACAGATTGCACAAGGCCAATGTAAGATAAACAACCATTGTGATAAAACTCTAGTGTACGTTTACTGCATTTATCACTGAAAATGTACAGACGGAGTTATATTGTGCATGACGTGCTGAAAATTGTACAAAAATTCTCTCAGCCCCGAAAATTTTTTTTTTTTCATTTCTAAGAAACAAAGTAATCCACAGAGCTGACAGCCTATAGAATGCATGCATTAAATGAAGGCCAGCCAGGATCATTGAAAGGACAATCTATTTGACTGTCTGGGTCCCCAAGGGATACCCTAACCTTTACTGGTATATAACCATCTTACTAATGTATCACTTAACGTCTGATTCTTAAGAGGGCCGCCTGGGAGCCAGACAGCACGGGAAAATAACCTGACAGATTTTTTTTTTTTTTACCACACTTAAAGCCAGCTGTGATCCAATATTGTTTAGAACTGTGACCTTATATAACCACTTGCCCTCCAGAGGATTTACCCCCCTTCCTGACCAGGTCATTTTTTTTGCGATACGGCGCTGCGTTATTTTAACTAACAATTGCGCGGTCATGCAATGCTGCACCCAAATGAAATTTTTTTTCCACAAATAGAGTTTGTTTTGGTGGTATTTGATCGCCTGTGCGTTTTTAATTTTTTGTGTTATAAAAAAAAAAGACTGACAATTTTGAAAAAAAAAAAAATATTTTTGACGTTTTGCTATAATTAGGCCAAAATGTATTCTGCTCCATGTCTTGCTAAAAAAAAATCCCAATACATGTAAATTAATTGGTTTATATGAAAGTTTTAGTGTCTACAAATGGCGGTATATATACTGGAATTTTTTTTTTTTATTCTAGTAATGGCGGCGATCAGCGACTTATAGCGGGACTGCGGAGGACATTCTGGCACTGGGGGGTGGGGAACTGACTTGGTGTGACTGACATCCCCAGTGACACCAATACAGTGATCAGTGCTAAAAAAAAAAGCACTGACACTGTACTAATGGCACTGGGCAGGAAGGGGTTAACATGAGGGGCGATCAAAGGGTTAACTGTGTGCAGAGAGTGTTTTACTAGGGGCTGTGTCTTTGTGCTTCACTGTAAGTACACTGCTTTGGATGGCTGTGCTGTGCACAGCCATCCAAAGCAGCGTGCCCAAGCTGACAGGGAGGAGGACTGTTAGTAAACAAAACAGTCCTCCTTCCCGTTGGAGATGCACGGTAATCACCGGGCGCCAGTGGGTAATCACCGTCTGGAACCCGGTGATTGACAACAGTGCCCCCTACCTGAAAATGCAAAATCACATATATATATATATATATATATATATGTGTGTGTGTGATTTTGTGCACCCCTGCCGCCCTGTAGCAGTATAGCAGGAATATGGTTAATAATAATAATAATAATATTAATATTTTGTTTCTTTTTTAGGGGTTAGGGGGTTAAGGATCGTCATAAATTTAGGCCAAAATGTATTCTGCTCCATGTCTTTGCTAAAAAAAAATCCCAATACGTGTAAATTAATTGGTTTATGTGAAAGATTTAGCATCTACAAAAGGCGGTATAGATACTGGATTTTTTTTCTTTATACTAGTAATGGCGGCAATCAGCGACTTATAGCGGACTGCGGCAGGCATTCTGACACTGGGGGTGGGGGAAACTAAATAACAGTCACTGACATCCCCAGTGACACTAAACAGTGGCGTCCCAAAGCAGGTGCGGGGGGGTGTGGTACGCACCGGGTGACACCGACCACACGGGGTGACCCGAACCCGCTCCACAAAAAGGTAAGTTGTAAAGAAAGCCAGCAATGGATCCGATCCATCCTGCGGGGATCGTCAGCTTTCTTTACAGCTTACCTTTTCTTGGAGCGGGTCCAGTGTCACCCTGTATAGGTTGCATGCTTATGATCCTGCGGGGATCGTCAGCATGCAACCTATACGGAGTGACACCGGTGTAGTGGCAAGATGTGTCTCCCATGTAGATGTCCCCCCTGAAGCAACTGCGCATGTCCCAGTTTCAGGCACGATCAATCGATGATAGAACTACTGCTATCATCGATTAATCGTGCCTGAAACCGGGACCGCTCTCTGCACCATTTTTTTCTGACAGCTCAGACATGCTTTATAAATTCTGGATTTGACAACTGCAGATTAACAGGTACAATTTATGTAGGGGGATTTGTTTCATCTCTGTGTATCAGGCCAGTCACATCACTGGGTATACATAAGGGATTACAACCACTCTAAAATTGTGTGCACCTGTGAAAGGGCAACAAATTTGAGTACCCTACATTTTCCATTGGTGACAATTTAAAAGCCCCTATAGGCCGTCAGTTCAGAGTTAACTATGAATAATCAGCCTAGAATTATTGCTCTCACTGCGACATTTGTGGCAATATGTAAAATTGGTAGCAGAATCAAAGTTTTCATACGTAGGCGCCCCCAACGTGTGAGTTAACATTCGTATGTGGGTGTATGTGTATGTGGGGGTGAGGGTGGGCTCAAAATTTTTGATGGGGACTTTAAGAGCTTAAATGAAACTTTATTTTTTTTATACTTTTTTTCACAAATTTTTTATTTTTTAATCACATAAGTGACAAAGAGTCAGACCCAGAGACATTTTGCACTTCCAGGTTCTTAATAGGTAGAGGGGGTCAGCAGATGGTCATTCTCTGGTCTCCTTCCACTCCAGCCAGCAGCATCTACCATGCCAGTCCCAGGTCCGTCAATGGGAGCGTAAGCCCTGATGCACTTTTGAGATATCGACATTATTATTATCATCATTTTTATTTTAACCAATGACTTTTCTGAGTATAAGATCTCATTTTTTAAATAAAGTTTTATTGGGGTTTTATTGAAAATTTGCTGGTGCTTTTTTTCTTCTACAAGGATTTCCCAGTCTGCAGAAAGCTGCAAGGCCATGGATGTTAGCCATATATTTGTTCTGCTTTCTTCTAGAAACACTTGAATGAACATTAGATGGAATTCTTCTATCAACAGGACTGTGTCAACACTCAATTGCTGACAGATTTGCATTCATTTGAATCCAGACACCTATGTTTCCGCTAATAGTTTTTAACCCAATATTCATTTTTATTACCATTATTGCATGATAAAGGTTATACAAGGTAAGAAAGATCTACTGATTGTAGCAAAGTTGTGATATGTAAGAAAAGTTACTCATACACAAATTAATTTATAAGGTGAAATGGAAGAGGCATGGCATTACCTTGCTGGGAGCAAGTAACATATTCAGTTGCAGATCCGGGCTTAGTGCTTTGAATCCGCCATGCAGAGTCCAGTCCTCGATAATTTCTTCATCGGAGATTACAAAGTGATCTAAGGCTTTTAGTGACCATATACTGTTGACCACGATATGGCGGTAGTTTTTCTGCAAGCTCAGTGGTGTGTCATAGAGGGTGAGACCTAAGAGTGCAGGACAAGTGGATAAGAATTCTACATTTCTCACATTTCCAATGCGATTGTTGTGCAGGTAAAGCAGTTTCAGGTCCTTCAGATGTCTCCAGAATTCCATCCCAGGAAGATTCTGTATCTAAAATGTGCAAAAATGTCATAGATAGATAGATAGATAGATAGATAGATAGATAGATTAGATTAGATAATATATTGCAGTGTATTCTGTCTTGGAGATGCCTATATAGCTGTATTTCCAATGTATTTCCAATGTGAAGTATGACCTGCATGCATGGCTGGACTCCTATCCCCTGGGGCATGTAGGCATTCAATCTTTGGCACCCAAACAACACCCCTCTGCTAAGACTTTTACATGAACATTTTCATGTTTCATTGCTCTAAAGCCCATTTTAAATCAGCAAAAAAAAGGATTTCAATGGAGGCTTCATAAAAACAACCAGTTGAAACATTCCTCCCTGAGGCTGTAGGCTTCAGAGGACCACTGCTCTGTGTATGAAAGCAGCTATTTCTTGGCAGTGGTCTGACCACCACCCCCCAAGGAGTGAAAGCTAGACCTGAGCAATCAGCATTGAGCATGATAGCCAAGCACAAGACCTGTCTCCATCATGGGAGATAGAGAAATGAATCACATACTCCCTAAAATATATAATGTATTTCCTTCACTACCATATAGCGCTCCTTAGTGGTGGGTGATAACCCAGTTCCTGTGCTAGGGGTCTACAGGAGTATCTTGCAGCCAGAGGGGTTAGAAACCTTTTCCCTGAGCTCTGGCTCTCTTTCCATGGTCAGAAAGCCTTTGGCAAGTGGACAAAACAAATACTTTAAAACAGAGTTATTGGAGTCGCAATCCTTTGGTTCTAGACCAGTTCCATCAGAGGCCTAGCCATCCACCAGGCCTAAATGCAAGAGGGTCACAAGGTTTTCTGGTGCAAGGTCCAGACAGGTTAACTGCCACCACTGGCTGGATCTCCGTCTCCTGGCCACTCCTGCTTAAGCCACTGTCCACTTACTTTTTGTTCCCCAGGTAAATGTTACCAGAATGACAAGGTTCGGTCTGCCTCTTGCTGGAACTTTACTTTTACTTGTGTAACTGGCAATATAACAGTCCCAATGTTGTGGCATTTCATAGTTTAATGCAATCTAACAGTTCAGTACTTTGTGGTTCCATCAAACATGGTTGTTTCTGTGCAGTGCTATGCCCACTCTAGGGGCTCTCCACTATGCAGAACATGCATTACCCGGAAGGCAAGCCCATTGCAGGTGATGTAAATTTCTAGAAGAACTGGGCCCCAGGGCTCCCACAGGGGATACAATCCCCACAGCAATTCTAATCAACTACTCCCCACTGTTCTGCTCCACACTCCAACTCCCTAAATGTCACCTGTTAATTTTACCATGGATACTTGTGGACTTCATAATGCACTATGCATCACTAGTATTACCAGCCCAACTGTATTTAGGACCAGATAGGTTCATTGGTAATGCTTGCGGTTGAACCCTGGTTCCAGCTCCAGCTCAAATGCTAGATTTTGATCTCTGCCCAAGATGGCACCAAGCCACCATTCCAATACTGGCATCTCATTTGCCAACTACAGCTTATACATTGGACTGTTGATTGGCAAGGGCAGAGCTTAGTGCCGGCAGGGGAAGGGGGTCTAGCTGTCAACTCAGAGGCTGCCACCCTGTGTTCAGGCTGCCTCTGGAATCCTGGGACTCTAAGTTGGCACGACTTTGTTCTGAAGATTACTATGGATACTTGCGGACCTTGTAATGCAATATGTATCACTGGTATTTCCAACTCCACCATATTTAGGACCTGACAGGTTCTCTGGAAATGCTTGCAGGTGAACCCTGGTTACAGGTTCAGCAAATGCGCTAGAGTTTGATCTCTGCCTTGGTTGGCACCAAGCCATCATTCCAAAACTGGCACCTCATTTGCCAACTGCAGCTTATGCATTAGACTGTTGATTGGCAAGGGCAAAACTTAGTGCCGGCAGGTGAAGGGGGTCTAACTGCCAACTCAGAGGCTGCAGCCCTGTATTCAGGCTGCTTCTGGAATCCTGGGGCTCTAAGTTAGCATGACTTTGTTCTGAAGATTACCATGGATACTTTCAGACTTTGTAATGCAATATGCATCACTGGTATTGCCAGCTTCACCATATTTAGGACCTGACAGGTTCTCTGGAAATGCTTGCGGGTGAACCCCAGTTACAAGTTCGGCTCATGTGCTAGATATTGATCTCTGCCCAAGTTGGCACAAAGCCACCATTCCAATTTTTGCACCTCATTTGCCAACTGCAGCTTAAGCACTGGACTGTTCATTGGCAAGGGCAGAGCATGGCGTTGAGTGGTGGAGGGGGTCCTACTGCCAACTTAGAGGCATCATCCCTGTGTTCAGGCTGCCCCTGGAATCCTGGGGCTCTAAGTTGGCACAACTTTGTGCTGAAGTTTTCCGCCGGTAATCACAGATGTTGCAATGCGCTACGCTTCACAGGTACTGCTATCTCAGTCGTACTTAGGACCTGACAGGTTCACTGGAAAAGGAAGCAGAAAAAAAAATCCGGTCTTTCTCCAGAGAAAGAAAAGTACATTTAAATGACTTTATGTTAAGCATTCTTCATTCATGCAACAATGGACAACGCGGTCACCTGTTCGCGCTCATGGACCTGATTAAAAGTACTGTCAGCTGGGAGAAAGTTGAGAGGAGATAAATTATGCCGTTGCAATTAAATTGTTCCTATTGTACTTCCACGGGAAGCTTCTCTGCTTGGCTCACTAAAAATAAATGAGACGCTGGGAACTCTTTTCATCATCCTCCCTTTTAGTGTGTCTAATGCCCAAAAAAGTTAGAGAGTCGCCTTATGAGTTCTCCCGCTTCCTGCGAAAAAGGTTCTAATTAAAGGACGCCAATATTAAAATAATAAAAGTTTATACATAAGCCAGTTGCTTGACCCCATGAAAGAAAATTCCATTTTATTGGAAAAGCACTAAATTTCATCTTCTTTTGAGACTACACAACCTCACACCCCGCTGTCTGACTGCAGAGATTTTCTTTTTTTCTGTAACGCCTACACAGTGCTTGTGCACTGTGCATTATCTCTACAGTGCTTTGCTCTTTGGCTGTGTAAAGCCATATGAGACATACTTTTATAATAAAACAGTGTAGGATAGAACATTCATTGAAGTATATGTAATCTTAACAAATAACCTTTTGCCGCCCACGTAACGCATATGTGTGGCGGCAAAGAGGGTGGACTTTACCGCCCGCCTCCTTGGGTGGCCAAGATTTCTGTGTGTGCTGACGGAGCACTCCCAGCACAGTGACCAAGCTGTCAAGGAGAGCTCCTGGTCTCTAGTAATAATTGGGAGCCGGCGGGACCAGCTCCTGATCATGAGACCACTGTGACAGCCAATCACAGTGGTTACGTCATCAGGCAGTCCTTCTTGCCTCCCAGGCATATAAGACCAGTGAAAGGGACGCCAGGGCTGGGCAGGAAGAAGTTAAAGTACAATTGAAGGCAAAACTTTTTTTTTTTTTTTTCATTTTTGATAGAGTAAAGGATTGCTATAACCTCAATTAGGTTTTCTTTTTTTGCTGTTCCATATGGGGATTTTCCCTTTCCTTGCTTTCTTTTGGTTCATAAAATACAGTTAGGTCCATAAATATTTGGACACAGGCACAATTTTCATACTTTTGGCTCTGTATGCCACCAGAATAAATTAAAATGAAACAATCCAAATGAATTGGAAGTGCAGACTTTCAGCTTTAATTCAAGGGGTTGAACATAAATATCAAGTACAAATTTTAGGAACTGCAACCATTTTTATACACAGTCCCTTCAATTTCAGGGGCGCAAATGTAATTGGACAAATGAATATAATCATAAATACAATGTTCATTTTTAATATTCTGTTGAGAATCCTTTACTGACAATGACTGCCTGCAGTCTGGAACCCATGGACATTACCAAGACTGTGTTTCCTCCCTTCTGATGCTTTGCCAGGCTCTAACTGCAGCTATCTTCAGTTGTTCTTTGTTTGTGGGTCTTTCTGCCTTTAGTTTTGCCTTCAGCAAGTGAAATGCATGCTCAGTTGGGCTGAGATCAGGTAATTGACTTGGCCATTGCAGAATATTCCACTTCTTTTCTTTCAAAAGCTCCTGGGTTGGTTTTGCAGTGTGTTTTGGATCATTGTCCATCTGTACTGTGAAGCGTCGTCCAATCAACTTTGCTGCATTTGCCTTAATCTGGACTGACAGTATACCTCTAAACACTGCAGAATTCATCCGGCTGCTTCTGTCTTCTGTCACATCATCAATAAACACCAATGACCAAGTGCCACTGGAAGCCATGCATGCCCATGCCATCACACTGCCTCCACCATGTTTTACAGATGACGTTGTGTGCTTTGGATCATGAGCTGTTCCAAGCCTTCTCCAAACATTTTTCTTCCCGTCATTCTGGCACAGATTAATCTTAGTTTCCTCCATACAAAGAATGCTTTTCCAGAACTTGTCTGGCTTTTTTAGATGTTTTTTGGCAAAGTCTAATCTGGCTTTTCCATTCTTCAGGCTTATGAATGGTTTGTACCTTGAGGTGAACCCTCTGTATTTGCTCTCATGAAGTCTTCTCTTGATTGAAGACTTTGACAATGATACACCCACCTCCTGGAGAGTGTCCTTCACTTGTCTGGATGTTGTGAATGGGTTTTGCTTTACCATAGAGAGGATCCTGCGATCATCCACCACTGTTGTCTTCCGTGGACATAGTAGCCCACACCTGGCCATGAAACAGCTTTTGATTCAATTGTCCAATTACTTTTGGTCCCTTGAAAAAGGGGGATGACTATTGTTAAGAGCTGTAATTCCTAAACCCTTCCTTCAATTTGGATGTACATACCCTTAAATTAAACCTGAGAGTGTGCACTTTCAGCCCACATCCATTATATAACTATTGCTTGAATATGTTTTGGTAAATACATGAGAAAAAAAAAACTAAAATTGTGCCTGTGTCCAAATATATATGGACCTAACTGTATACCAGTGGGTCTGCATAGATGTGCAGCTTTATGGGATCCATCCTTTGCTTAACAATTGGGATGGTTTAGTTACATCTGTTTGATGAGTGCAATAAAAATGATTCTGCCAGAAATCCAGTGGGCAGATAACTTCCTGTGCAGACTGCTGTCATTTAGCATTGTTCCCAGCTATCTCTGGACTACAGAACCCCTCCTCTGTATGGTTTGAAAACAAGTGTTCTGTAGTCCTAATACAAATCTTGTGTTAGGATGACAGCTACTCCTTATGCTCCTCATGTCAGTCCAACCAAACCACATCATTATTTGGAATAAAAAAAGTAACTCTGGCAAAAAAAAAAAGAAAAACGATCAGCCAATCAGGGGCAATTGCGTTGCACAGTGCTGTCAGTTGCTAACATGCTTGCAGAGATGGAGAGCAGAGAGATGACCTCATCATGGTTCTGCTTTTCCTTCACTGTCACATTAGCATACTGAGGACAGGGAGGTGACACTACTGTATTCCCTTAACACAGCCAAATGGTAGGAAAACGAGGTGGGGTGAGGGGGCTGGTGGGGTACCATTGGTAATGGTATCCTACCAGCCAAGGGGCATTTTTAAGGTCCTAAAAACCAGGAGCACCTCTGGGCTTGTATGGTACCATAATGACCACTTTGGATCAACTCCAAGACTAATATCAATTTTTAACTGAAAAAAATGAATTGATGACAAAACTGTAATGTTAGATTATGATGACAAAATAAATATTAGTTGGATCAAAAGGTAGATAAATATACAATGTTCCAAAACTGTATAAAGCATAGAATATATCATCTCCAAATCTCGAAAGAAAGCCTGGGACACTCAGTAGAAGACACGGGGCACATGGCCTGGGTGTCAGGGTCTAGCAACGCCCTGGCTATACAGTGTTACAGAGGTCTATAAATCACAAAAGTGGCTCAACAAAAAAAATCATTTTGGCGTCTAAAACAGTTCGCAAATATGGATTATATTCTTCCTCTTGGGCAAGAAGTGTCATTAAACCTACATGATAAAAATCTATCAATAAATGCTGTATTACATGTTGTTCAACAGTGACGGGAAAAGGTCATCTAGAGCCCAGGAAGAACATGCCAAACTCCCCCCCCCAAGAAGTATGAGCATTATGTGTCAGCAAAAATCCCCCCTCCGCCCCAAAAAATTAAGCGCTAATCTGCATTCTTATCCCCCTAAGAAAAAATATCCTGCCTCCCACTACAAATGCCCCCCCCCCCCCATTGAAATCCCCCTCCCAGCACAAATTGTTGCCCCACATTCCCCTTCCTACCCATTCACCTCTTCTAGCACGACCCCCCGCCCCAAATCCCCCTTCCTAGAACAAATCCTCTTCCCCAATCCTTCCTTCCAACAGAAATCCCTTTAAATCACACCCCCCAAATGATGCCTCCTAGAACAATTCTTACTCCCTTCCACCCCCCCCCCAACACAAATCCCCCCCCCCCAATCTCCTTAGAGCTGCCCCCCACCTGTCCACAGTGCCCACCTCACTATGGGATTTGTTTTCTGTCTTCTGCAAAAAATCTGGTTGATCCTGCTATTCTCTATCTCCCCCTCCTGTCCATGTCCCCATTCCAATGGGATTTTTCAAAGCTGTGTTGGCAGTTAGTGCACATGCTCAGTTTTCAGTGAGTTTCTATGCTGAGGATTTCCTCCCTAGCACATCTGAGCAGCCCATGGGACTATAGAGTTACACATGTAGGTGTATACACAGTGGTAAGTGACAGCACGCTCCCTCCTTCCTCCTTCATGCCTACTAACCAGCTAGATACAATAGGGGGCTGAATATTATATCTTGATTGATGGAGGCGTCACATTCCTGTTTTTCTAAGACAGTGGTTTCCAAACTGTAGCCCAGGGACACTATTTCACCCAGTGATATCAACCATTGGGGCATAATTCTCCCCATAGACACCAATGAAGGGGCACAATTTCTTCCAATGACATGAACGATGGGGCACTATTCCTCCCACTGACATCGTGACCTTTTCTACTCCCAATGGCCACAGTCCAGACCCCTAAACTCTGAAGGACAGTAAATTGGCCCCTTATTAAAAAGTTGGAGACCCCTATTCTAAGACACAGGCTGGAGGGGCAACCCATTGTTGCCAAAAAATAATAATGATTTGATTTCAAATATATATTTGTATGACGATTTAAAACAGTTTATTGATATTAATTATTTATTTTTACTCTGTATCCCAAAGGCTGTTTTTTTGTATGTTGAACATGTGACTAACAACAGAGGACTAGAAGCTCCTCCTCCCACTGTTTCCCTGCAGACAGGCTGGGAAAGAGCTTGGTCATGTGACAGTTGTATATTGATTAGGAAAAAAGGTACTTAGATTTTTTTTTATTAATATAATTTCAGAGCCATTGTCCACATACAGAAAGAGAAGGGGGGTAATGTCAATAAACAGTGTGTGTTTAGTATCACTTTAAAGTCTAGGTATTCACAAGATTATTAAAATGCATTCCCCCCTGTGCAGATAACACAGGGATGATATAAAACAGCATTATTTACTATTTTCTCTAATTACTCTAAATCTCTGAATGGGCTTGCCGACACTCCTCTCACCAAAAATATAATTTTGGAATGCAAAAGCACCCCTGGTCCTGCATTGTACTTTATGACATAGAAGTGCTCACCCACATTTTTTCATACTGAAGAGTAGAGGACAGGGGAAGACTGACCATTTGGAAACTCTGGCACTGCCCGAGGGCCCAGGGTCAGTAGGGGGCCCCATGAGATGCCCCTAGTACCTTTTTCATAGGCTTTTTTGAGTTTGGGCAAGGACACAGGGGCCCCATGATCCCCTACTGCCCGGGGGCCCCATGAGTTGTCAGTCCGCCCCTGGTAGGGGATGGCTGGCTGTTGTGGGACCCTGGATTAAGGTAAATATTACTCTGTTATCTAATCCGTTAGAAATTAAAGTGGATCTTTACCTCATTTTAAAAAAAAAAAAATTGGTAGAAGATAAAGTTCTCTAGAGGGACTTTGCATGTCTCATCTGCTAAGAAACCCATTTTCCCTTCTCTTAGCAATTTTTAATGGTGAGTACACCGCACGACACCCTGGCTCACAGATGCCGGGAATGCAATGTAACTACCACGCACAGTATAAAACTGTTCCTAATTGCATCATCCATTGGTACTGACGTCCTTTCTGCCACATCTTCCACTCATCAGAAAGCTGCCCTTTGCTGCTCCCTCTGTTGGCGCCACCATCTTCTGTGTCATATTTTCTGGGACCCACAGGGGGCCCTACAGCTGAGCTTGCTCTTCCCTTCGGCCTTGTAAAAAATTAAAAGTGCCTATACTTTTTAAAATCCAGTAATACACTGGGGGGATTTACTAAAACTGGAGCACTCACAATCCGGTGCAGCTGTGCATGGGAGCCAATCAGCTTCTAACTTCAGCTTGTTCAGTTAAGCATTGACAATAAAACCTGGATGCTGATTTCTGGTTTCTATGCAGAGCTGCACCAGATTTTGCACCCTCCAGTTTTAGTAAATCTCCCCCACTAGCAGAAACAAACAAAACAGGGTGCACTCTCCTCGTGCATTAACCTTCATCCATTGCTCTGAGGAAGGAAGTTCGACTCCCGAAACGCGTTAGCACTTTATCCGAGGACGCATGTTGTCCACGATTGGCATCTTTCACTTTTTGTCTCTGTTTTTATGACCTTTATGGCTTGTGAGTATGTTTTTGCATCTTTTTAATACATTTATGGTTTTTGTGTTAATGCACGAGGAGAGTGCGCCTTGTTTTGTTTTATTCTGCTAGTATCAAGATTCCCCAATCTATCAAGGGTGGCACCTCAGCCAGTGCACTATTCCATTTTGATTGCAGCAAGAGATTTCAGCGCCAGTTTCTGGTTACTGTTGAAATCTCCCCACTGTCTCACCTTGCTCTGCACAGCCTCAGTTGACCTATATTCTCAGCACTGTGTCAATAACCAGTGAGCCCGATCTGCTGCCAGCCTAAAGATTTACTGCTACTGAGGGGGGAGGAAACAACAGCAATGATACAGACTGTGCTGACGAATGACAGATTAGAGAGAAATTCAAGAAAAGCAGGAGAGGTGACAAGACAAACTCTGCTGCCAGGGAAACAAGGAATAGTTACATCTACAAGGATAGAGTCTTATCTTTTCTCCATGATATTTTCTCCTTTCCTGCTTGGCAGTGGCTTGTGAACTTCGGCTCTATAAAGCTTCTGTCAGCCATCCTGTATAGCTGAGCCAAGTAATACAATCAAGGCTGGAAATGCACACATTTTAATTACAGAAAGTGACCTATAGGGGTTGATTTACTAAAACTGGAGTTTGCAAAATCTGGTGCAGCTGTGCATGGTAGCCAATCAGCTTCTAACTTCAGGCTGTTCAATTAAGCTTTCATTAAAAAAAAAACTGGAAGCTGATTGGTTTCCGTGCAGAACTGCACCAGATTTTGCACTCTCCAGTTTTAGTAAATCAACCCGATAATTTTTTTAGACCAAGGAGAGGGGGAGAGTTTCCCTCATGGAAGTGACTGCGGAATGTGGAATGTACATTCTTTCGTTAAAGAACATTAATTATTATCAAACTGTTATAGATAAAGTTTCTGCTTAAAACTCTTTATCAGCTGGGGTAGGGGAACATTTAAATCATTTTGTGAATGGCCAGAATTCAGTTTTGGATATGTATATTTAAGTACCTGATTTCCATGTAAGTCCAACTTAACAAGGTGTACACATGGCTGAAGAGCTCTGATGTCTGTGATGTAGTTATCAGCCAAGGTGCAGAACTTCAGAGATGTACAATACTGCAGAAGGTTCACCTCCTTCAAGAGCAGCTTCACTAAGTGAACAACCACAAGTTCCTCCAGCTTTTCACCCTGATGGTTGTCGACAGACAGTCCATGTTCCAGTAGAATGCTTTCAGAGGCAGGTATTAGATAATCCTTTTCCATCTTTGATTGGTGCCCTAAAAACAAATATATCCAATATATTATTAATTTAAAAAGCAGACATATAAAACGCATGCCAAAAGCAGGCTTTTATTAACAAGCTTTTATTGTCACCCAAATTTTCAGTTGGGTATAAGGCTTGTTTCATATCTATGGGTGTTTGGGAATGCACTTATAGCACCCGTCTAGATAGCCAGGGGAAGCTATTTTTTTTTTTTAGAGAGGAAGACCTGGGCATAATTCAGCCTGTGTGTAAGTCAGCCAGGTCAATTTAGGTTAGGGCTGAGGACTCTGCAGATCGGTTTCCTGAGACCTCTCCTTGCTCTAGAGACTTGAAGTTTTTAGAAGGCAGTGGGCAGGGGTTAGGAGGGGCTGATCTGCATGCTTAAGGGATCCTGACCAATTCCCAAGCAGGAGGCTTGGCATGGGGTCAGGACAGCCCTTAAGTTTGACTGAGCCTGCTCAGCAGCAGGAGAGTTCGGGTGAAAGATGGAGCGAGAGGCTGGAGTGTAAGAGCCTTGGAGGGGGCCCAGTGGGAAGCGGGATACCTCCAGGCTGGACTAGGAAAGGAGGATCCTTCAACCTCAGCAGTCCCCTGAAAAAGGACCACCTGTGCAGCAGGGAATGAGCCAGCCCTACAGAAGGCTTGAAGGAAGCCACCAACCCAACCAACCCAACAGAAGAGGAAGAGTGAGTGCCCTTCTCCCCCAGGCCAGATTGTGGGAAAGGACATTCGGTTGGGAAACCTGACTAGCCCCCACCTGGGACTATTTGGTATATAAAGACAGATTCTGGGTCCCCTTGCCCAGGGATTCACCTAGTACAGTTAGATGATGAGAGGATTCATCTTGGGTCTGGGGTGGTACATCAGGAGAGGCAGGAGAGAGCGCCAAGAAAAAAGCCTTTTTGCTGTATACTACTTGTCCATAGTTCCTAAGGACAGTGGTGTATTTAGGTTTTGTGCTGCCCTAGGCAACACAAAAATTGCCCCCCCCCACCCCCCCCGCAGAAAGAGCCTGACATTGACCAAGAACACTCCTGTCCACCACCTGAACCTTCCACTACCACTGCCCCCTGTACACCAGCCACCATCCCCCATGGCGAGAGAGAGAAAGACACTCACCTTCACAGCTCCGGACATCCCCAAGAACAAGAGTCGGGCTGTGTATACACCGTCATGAAACCCACAGCATCTCTCGGAACCCACCAGGTCCCCATGCCGCGTGTGTCCCTTCTTCCATCTCTTCTTCCAAGGGGCTGTGCTGCCCCCCCTAAAAAATGCCGCCCTAGGCAAATGCCTTGTTTGCCTTGTGGTAAATACCTGCCTAAGGAGTTGTTCTCAATTACAGTCCCTTGGGCATCCCATACACCCCTATCCCCATCCAAGTTCAATACCCCTAATACAACTTAAAAACCAGCTCAATGGCTGCTTATTGTCTCCAGAATGCAAGTCTGTGAAAAATGTATGTTTCCTGGCTGTGCAGAACTATAGGACGACCCAAAACTTCAGCAACTTCTAAGGGTGCAGTGCTACACATGCAAAATCTTGTGCATTCCCGACTCGTACAGAACCACTTTGTGCCATTAATCCTTAAAGCAGTGCTAAACCCAAAAGCAAACATTTATTATATTGTGGCTCACCAATTCTTAAATGTGAGGGCTGCATTCGTTTTCTTTTTTAGGCTTTCTTTCCTTTATTTGGTGATCCAGCCAAGAAGTATGTTGTTTTTCAAAAGAACAAGCTCTCTTACAAATGTATCAGTTACAGGGATGAGGCAAACCATTACCACTGACAGGGGTGCTTACAATGATCAGCTTTTATTTATTTGTGTAAAACCTTTATCCCAAACTGAAAAAAACTGTTTCCGTAACTGCTTAGAAAATGTTAGATGGAGTGTGGGTTCAATTTGTTAGTGTATTTAAATCTGCTAGTCCATCTAACACTCCCCTCCCGCCAAACTGACAATGCTGCTGTCCAAAGGTGCCGCCTGTGCGCCTTCATCCAGAGTGGGGGCACTCTAATACAGGAGATGCCTTACTGACCAGATCACCAGGGGGAAAAAGTTTAAAAAAGAAATGTAGCCACCATAGCTAATGATTGATAAGCTACAGTATATTACATTTTAGTTTTGGCTTTACTATTGCTCTAAAGCGGTATTAAACCCAAAAGCAAACATTTATTACATTGCAGCTTACCAATTCTCAGATGTGATGGCTGCATTAGTTTTCTTTTTTCAGCTTTCTTTCCTTTATTTTCACCTGGGGATCCAGCCAGGAAGCCTGTTATTTTTCAAAAGAACAAGCTCTCTTGAAGATGTATCAGTTACAGGGATGAGACAAACCATTTACCACTGACAAGGATGCTTACAATGATCAGCTTTTATTTATTCATGTAAAACCTTTATCCCAAAATGACAAAAACTGTTGCTGTATCTGCTTAGAGAGTGTTAGATGGAGTTCAGCTTCAATTTGTTAGTGTATTGAAATCTGCTAGTCCATCTAACACTCCCTTCCCGCCACACTGACAATGCTGCTGTCCAAAAGGTGCCCCCTGTGCTCCTTCATCCTGACTGGGGGCACTCTAATACAGGAGGTGCCTTACTGACCAGATCACCAGTGGTATTAAAGTGGTATTAAACCCAAAAGCAAACATTTATTACATTGCAGCTTACCAATTCTCAGATGTGATGGCTGCATTAGTTTTCTTTTTTAGGCTTTCTTTCCTTTATTTTCACCTGGGGATCCAGCCAGGAAGCCTGTTATTTTTCAAAAGAACAAGCTCTCTTGATGATGTATCAGTTACAGGGATGAGACAAACCATTTACCACTGACAGGGATGCTTACAATGATCAGCTTTTATTTATTCATGTAAAACCTTTATCCCAAAATGAAAAAAACTGTTGCTGTATCTGCTTAGAGAGTGTTAGATGGAGTTTAGCTTCAATTTGTTAGTGTATTGAAATCTGCTTGTCCCGCCACACTGACAATGCTGCTGTCCAAAGTTGCCCCCTGTGCTCTTTCATCCAGAGTGGGGGCACTCTAATACAGAAAGTGTGTTACTGGAAACATCACCAGGTAAACACAGAGGGGAAAACAAGTTTAAAAAAAGAAAAAACTAATGCATCTGCCACATCTAATGCCTGGTAAGCTGCAATATATTATATTTTTGGTTTGGATTTTATAACACTTTAATTTGGTGCAGTAGGATTTTACAAAAGGGGGACTTCTTACCCCACATTTCTCGCAGGTAATGCAGCCCATTGAAATGAATGGGCTTCCCCACCCCCGCACGCATAGATGTGAATCAGGGCTATAGAATGCAGACGTCACTCTTCAACGTTTTTATGCATTTTACTTGGAATACTTTTATGAATTACAATAACAGGAGTTAAGGAAATTTGTATTGTAAATGAACTCAGCGGTATTGCAATATGCGATCCTAGCGTTACAGATTAACAGAACTCTAAATTAAAATGAATTTCAGATAATGTATGAAAATGTAAATGTTAATTTATCCTTTATACAGTATATGATTAATACCAGCTTAAAAAGGGATTTAGAAAAGAACTATTCCACAGCTTAAAGCGGAACTCCAAGAATTATTTATTTAGCATTTTTTTTTATTTTTTTGCATATTCACATTGATTCAGCTTGGCGTGATGTAAGTATCCATATCTAATATTCAGAGAGCTGCTGGGGATACTGAAAAACATTGTAGAAGTCAGAACAACATAGAAAGAACATTCAAGGGGGCATCTTCTCGGGGGGGGGGGGGGGGGGGTCACTCACTCAGCACCTCCTTCAGTCATACAACGCATTGTATTTTTTTCAACGAATACAAGGCATTCTCTGATTGGATGAGGTGGAGAGCAGGGATGAATGATGTCACAATCTCCACCTCATCCAATCAGGAACTGTCTTGTATTCACTGGGGGGAAAAAAATACAAGGTGTTCTCCAAATGGTGGCAGTGCTGCTGCACAGGTGCCTTCCAGTGGTCAGTGTGCAGAAGGGAAGCCACTGGAACTGCACCTTGAAGATCACAATTATCACTGTATGCAGTGACGACTACTACAATTATTATTATTATACAGGATTTATATAGCGCCAACAGTTTGCTCAGCACTTTACAATATAACGGGAGGCAATACAGTTCAATACAAGAGGGTTAGGAGGGCCCTGCTCCTTGGAGCTTACAATCTAAGAATGATTTACAGTATCCCCAATGGCCCTCCAGGTATCAGATATGGATGTTCTCTTTCAAATGCCACTTTATGCATTGGCATACCTCCTTAGACCATGTCTGTTTGGACAGTATGGTCACCTGCTGATTTGGCACCATCCACAGGCAGCTTAACTCTTCAATAAGACAAAGCAGCTAAATCCAATGCAATTTTACTTCAGCTAATTGCAATACAAGGGATGTTTCTTCAGTCTTTAGAAATATAGGTAAATTGGGTTGATTTATTAAAGCTAGAGAGCGCAAAATCTGGTGTAGCTCTGCATGGTAGCCAATCATCTTCTAACTGCTTGTTCAATTAAGTTTTGATTAAAAAAAAACTGGAAGCTGGTTGATTTCTATGCAGAGATGCACTAGATATTGCACCAGTTTTATTAAATCAACCCCAAAAACTTTCCTAAAACTGTCTCTGCGAATAACTAGCAATGACTTAATGAAAAAAACAAGGAGAATCTAGCTAGAGCTAAACTAACAAGCATTAAACAAGAGGAGAGAACAGAGGAAGAAACCAATAGCAAACAAACTGTAGTGACTCAAAACATCCAGTAGATGTCAGAGTACTACAGAACAGTCATAACCGGATGCAGTTCAATAAAAAAGAAAAATTACATGAAAGTGGAGCAGAACAATGGATATTTACATGGAGCCAAGCTGGACCAAAGCAAGTTTGGAAAAAAATATCATTTCTGAGGTTTCCCCTAAAAATGTAGCTAAATGTTTTTTAAAGTTTTGAATAAAGTGAGGAAGAGTTAGACCTTTTGTCAAGTTCTTATTGCCGTCTTTAAAGTTCCCCCCCCATCTGTGCTGGAGAGATTCATCACAGAGATGAGGTGAGGGGCAATTCAAAAATATTAAGTTTTCTTCAAGAAAGAGGTGAAGGAGAATCCTCCAATGGCAACAGCTGTTCCTATGACATTGACAACTCACTAAGATTGGAACTGTGATCACTGCAGAGATTTCCTTTCATTTTATGTTGTGTCCCCAGCAGGGGCGGACTGACAACTCATGGGGCCCCCGGGCAATAGGGGATCATGAGGCCCCTGTGTCCTTACCCAAACTCAAGCCTATGAAAAAGGTACCAGGGGCATCCCATGGGGCCCCCTACTAACCCCAGGCCCTCGGGCAGTGCCCGAGTTTCCAAATGGTCAGTCCGTCCCTGGTCCCCAGGACAGGAAGTGAAGGGAAATCTCCCCAGTGGGGCAAAGACAGCAAAAAATACTTGATAGATGTTTTGTATGTCATCATTGTGTTGAGTAGGAAGCCATCTATTGGATGTTCACTGCCAGGGGCAGACTGACAACTCCCTGTGTCCTTGCCCAAACTCAAAACTTGCCCAAACTCAAAAAATGAAAAAGGTATCAGGGACATCTCATGGGGCCCCCTACGGACCCCGGGCCCTCTGGCAGTGCTTGGGTTTCCAAATGGTCAGTCCGCCCATGTTCACTGCAACTGCACCTGTTTTTATTATTACTTTCAACAAGAATAGGGAGTGTCTTGTTAATAAAGATTCCCATCTACCACTGCAGCCATTTTAGCTTCCTGAAGAACACCAGTGAAGGTGTCCTCCATTCTCACTTTAATACACATATGCATGTAAACTCAATCGTTGTGTTTGTTAACGTCAAGTATATATCCAGATTGCATTTAAATGTATTTAATGTGATTTGTGGGTAGTGCTTTACTTTGCAAGAAATGTTTTCCTTGCATGCATTTGTGAGAGACATGTCTACAAGCATATGGTAACTTCAGTTTATGTGATTGAATTGCCGTTTTAGGCTACTTTTACACTGCTCTGTATGAAAAATGCATAAAAAATGCATGCGTGTTTTTGTTGTGGTGAATAGTATTTTTAATTTTTTTTTTTTTTTTTATGCGTTTGCGCTGCTTCCCCCCCCCCCCCCCCCCGAAAAAGCACTTCCCAGAGTTTCATTGTGTTTTTGATGCATTTTGGTGTGGTTTTCATTAATTTCAATGGAGGGATGAATTTTTGGTGCATTTTTTTAACTGAACAAAACATGCACCAAAAATGCATCAAGCAGGACTTTTAAAAATTCAACTGAAGTGCAACAGACAAGTGTGAAGAGCTCCATAGGATTTAAAGGGATGCATTTTTCTTTCCACTTTTTTAAACTGAATAAAAAAGGATTACAGAACACTTCACAGAAGTAAATTCAGTTTTTGAAATGAAACACAACGCTGCTTCTGTCAGTTTTGTTAGCTAGCTGTCAGCTAACCGTTAGTAGGACCGCACAATATGTGTCCTAGGCCTTCTCTTCTCTATCTAAAACAAAGACAAATGTTTTGGCTTTACATCCACTTTAATGCCACCTGCTTTGGAAAAAAATCCTGTGCTGTATATTTCTATGTCATGTCCTATAAATAACAATAGGAGGCATTTATCAATGTGGTCACATGACAAGTCAAAGCTGTACAGAAGCCGAGAGACAGAATGACTCCAGGATTGCAGCTTGGTTCATCAATTCCTCCCTCTGCCGCTCTAAAGTAGAAATGTGACAATGTAAATCCTGACCCTGACCACTTCTGCATTGTACGCATGTTTTTTGTTAAAGATTGGACTCCTCTAAAAAGGTAATTCTGTCACTGGTTGTAAATATCAAAAAAAAAAAGAGAGGAAAGAGGAAACCAGCAAAAAGAATAGGAATGGAGAAGAAAAGAGCAAGAAATAGATAAAAAAAAGAGACAAGAAGACATGAAAAAAAGGAAAGGAGAGTCGAATGAGAGAAAATAATGAAAGATAATAACATTGGAAAAGAAAGAGAAAGTAAGGAATACATTGTAAGAGAAGGAAGGAAGGGAGGGAGGGAGGGAGGAAGAAGAAGGAAGGAAGCTATAAGGAAGAAGAACAGAGATGGGGAAGGAAAGAGAAAGTGAGACATGGGTGAGAGATAGACTGGGAGAAAAGACAGAAGGAAGTAGGGAAGGAAGGAAAAAGGAAGGGAGAGAGGAAGAATTGGAGATGAT